TAATGTTGATCACAAAGCCGTTTTGAGTTCTTTCAGGCTTCTCAACACTGGATTCTACCTCTCTTTGCCTTTATCTTTAAAGTGCTGCTTTGAGGGGTTTCTGGCTCTCTCGGGAAAGAACTGAAATGCGAGGCCTGGGATATAATTCAAATCATCCTAAATCAGATTTCCCAACCCTTGATCTAATCAGCAAAGCTGTTTTGCTTAGCTTCTTGGTCAAGTTCACTCATTAACTCAGAAAGCATTCATTGAATATACGCTGTGTCTACCCCTGGGCTAGAACATAATAAGATTAGTAGATGAATTGAGCCCTGTCCTTTAAGAGTTCATAGTCTTACTGAATGAAGTGAAGGTAATAATAGAATGCTATTTAAAATGTATGACGGCTTTCGTACTTTAAATATGTTCAAGGTCTCTCATGGCAGGTAATTGACATTAACTCTGACTTTGTGCACCTGAAACTCCGTTTTAGAACATTTTCTTTTAATGTCTATTTCACCGTTATTATTATGCTTCTCTTTTTCAAAGACTTTTTTTTTTTTTGCCATTATAGTCATCCTCCGACAAAGTGTTGTAAAATTAATAGAAGGAATCATTGGCATTTCACGGTTTTACTGACTGTGGGTTCGGGAGGATTCTGAGCAGGAGGAAAGAACGAGAAGTTGACACCCCATTGATTTTTTTATTGGAACACACTGCAGCATAACCACCACTCCAACACGCATCGAATTCTACCAGACTCGTAAATGTCGTCTTTTGCAGCCAAGATGAATCCAAATAGAAAAATAACCTGTACTAATTTTATTTGAGGTCTGAGAAATAATGAAATTGCTTTCTTATTTTGGAACAAAATGTGTATACGTGTATGAATTATTGGGAAAAAAAGAGTTCTCTCCCACGGTTATTTAGAAGAATGGAAAGCTATGATCAGAAGTTACGTCCCACCCCCTGTAGTACCTCTATGTATTTTTCCTGTTCTCTTTTTTTTTTTAAACATCTTTATTGGAGTATAATTGCTTTACAATGGTGTGTTAGTTTCTGCTTTATAACAAAGTGGATCAGTTATACATATACATATGTTCCCATATCTCTTCCCTCTTGCGTCTCCCTCCCTCCCACCCTCCCTATCCCCCCCCTCTAGGTGGTCACAAAGCACCGAGCTGATCTCCCTGTGCTATGCGGCTGCTTCCCACTAGCTATCTACCTTACGTTTGGTAGTGTATATATGTCCATGCCACTGCCTCACTTTGTCACAGCTTACCATTCCCCCTCCCCGTATCCTCAAGTCCATTCTCTAGTAGGTCTGTGTCTTTATTCCCGTCTTACCCCTAGGTTCTTCATGACCTTTTTTTTTTTCCTTAGATTCCATATATATGTGTTCTCTTTCTTATGTAATGTCCTTTCGTGAGGCCCATTTACAGTTACAAACTGGTAGCCACTTTGATGTTTCTTATTTATTTCCCCCCAATTAATGTTTCTATGTGTGGTAGATATACAATTTTCTTCTATTAATGTTACAAAAAACCAGCCTTAAATTTGCGTCCACAATGAGGAATAAATAATCAACAAAAGCCCTTACTTAATCATTTCTATTCACAGGCTGGGAGAGAGTATGATTTGACTGTAATTTCATTGCAGGGCTTATCCAGGGTTAAATGTTAGTATGTCTCTTATCTTATAGCCACATTGCTCTTCTAGAGACACATGTATCCCTTGCATCCTAATTTGATTCTTTGAGCAATTTGCTGGCAGTCCTCATTAGCAAGAGTAATCAGGTTTTGATGGTCAGTCTCCAACTTCTGATGAGTTAAATTCATTTTTCCTGTGGTTTCTACCGTGACAACAGAATTTTATTTCCTCTCTTCTTTCTTTTTTCTGATCACAACTCTCTGTGGCTGTTCATGAAAAACTGAAGAATTTATGTTTCTCTCATTCACCTAAGATTTAGGAATTCTTCAGCTGTTCTAAGGCTTTGTGCTTAGGCACCATTTGGTACTTTTTTTTTTGCTAGAACACTTAAATTTAGGTTGTGGTGTCTGTTAGGAAATCAAAAGTTAAACCTGTAGATTCAGACTCCACAGAGATCTGGCTTTCTTGTGATAAAAACTGTGGCTCAGAATCACGGTACAGGATCCTTCAAAGCCAGAGAAAAGTACTAATGAAAAAATGCTAAAGAAGTTCTTTGAACTCAGGTGGAGAAAAAAATGCCCGGGGGGTGAAGGCTCACCGTATAAGAATCTTCCGGTGTTCTTTCCTTTGGCTCAAGAAAATGGAATATACTTTGGAGTGAAGGGTCAAAATTGATGTTGTTAATTATTTGCCTTGATGAAAGTGAGGGAAAAAAATATGGTGTCATCAGACTGTCTTCATTAAAGGCCTACATAGCCTGTGATGACTCCTTGTGGGATTATATAAAACAAGTACATTGCCTTGCTGCCCGGTACTGGGAGCTTCTGAATATAGGCTACTGGAAAGCTTGATATGATCACTTCCAACTACTGAAGGACCTATCCAGTGTTTCTGGGACTTCCTGTGTAGAGAAAGAGAGGAGAAAAGAAGAAGGAGAAGGAGGAGAAGAAGAATCTTCCAGTGTTCTTTCCTTATGGCTCAACAAAATGGAATATACATTGGACTGAGGGGCGGAAGAAGAAGGAGAAGGAGAAGAAGAAAGAAGCGAAGGGGAAGGGGACGGGGAAGGGGAAGAAGGCTGGACACTTGCTGAACTCTCAGACACACTTGATCCTTGATTACTGGCTATACATCCTGGATTCTCTTCTGGGTTCTACCCAGACTTCCCTTGGGTTTTGGTTCTGCTGTTCATCTTGTTCACCTTTACAAATTGCATGAATGGGTGGAATTTGCAGAGATCAGTGAACAGTACAGGGAGATCATCTGTCTTCTAGAGTCCAACAAAGCTTGGATTCTGCTGGGTTATGATGGGATTCACCATACATTTGGCCATCACTGCCTGCCTCTCCCCATCTCACTGTCTGTGTGTAGCCTTATTCCTCTGTATGAGCATCTGGGCCTCCCTGGGGACTTGGTGCTTCTGCAGGTGTAGTGTCAGAGATGGCAGGTTCTTACTGCAGTGTGTACATCCTATGAGACAGGCTGCAGACAGCTAATGCAAGTAAAGTAGGTAATGAAGTGGCTGGTGCTTTCCTTCAGGCTCCCCCCCCCCCCACTTGATAGGCCTGGGGTAGTTAGTGGCCCCTGTCTTGCTCTGTCAACCTAAATAAAGAAGTAAACTGAAGCACGCTCAAATGACCAGAAATTGAGTTTATATGGGAATAGCAGTGCAATGTGGGACACGCAAACTATAGTAAGCTATGGGCGAATCTGCTGATAATTTCGGACGAGCTGCTCTTATGGTCAAAGAGAGCAAAGAATGGAGAGTCCAGCCAGAATCCAAGCAGCAAGTTCATTGGTTTGAGGATGGGGAGAGATTCTTGGCGAATGTTCATTGCTTGAGGGATAAGATTCTGTCTCCTGTAAATCAGGCATTTACTGGAAATCAATCTCTTAGTTCTTATGTTTCGTTTGCCTGAGGGCACATGTGTGAGACTCTCCATTTCATATCCTCTGGTTCCGTTTTAGATTAAAATCTTTTTGCACTCCCGTAGAGCAGCGTGAAGACTTTAGCGACAGAAGGAAGCACCTGGGAAGCATGTGTAAGCGCAGATTCCTGCCCCCCACACCCCGCTCAGACCCACTCGGGACTCAGAGCTGCAGCATCACAAAGGCCCGCCTGATTCTAGTTCAGATCATTCTCAGAGCACATGTGGACCCTCCCAGAGAGGAACGCTTCTCTCCCGTCCAGGGAGCCACTTAGTTAATCCACAAATCAGCACTCCCGTTTAAACTTGAGACCACTGTCTGACTTTTTTTTTTTTTTTTGCGGTACGCGGGCCTCTCACTATTGTGGCCTCTCCCGTTGCGGAGCACAGTCTCCGGACGCGCAGGCTCAGTGGCCATGGCTCACGGGCCCAGCCGCTCCGCGGCATGTGGAATCTTCCCGGACCGGGGCATGAACCCGTGTCCCCTGCATCGGCAGGCGGACTCTCAACCACTGCGCCACCAGGGAAGCCCTGCCGACATTTTTGATGGAGCTCTTCAGAAATTGGGCTTCTGTTATTCCTGATGGTACCACAAGCTCTCCGTGGGTGATCCCTGCTTTCTTCCTTTATCTTGCTGTCCTCACTTTCTCCACTAGGCTCTTATCTCCTCCCTTCCCTTTGCTCAGCAACAGTCATGTTTGCTTTGCTAAAGCAGCTCCTCTGATTTCTTACCTTTGCAGACCAGTGTCAGGCCTGACTTTCTCAACCTCCCCTGATTCATTCGCTCCTTTCTGACCCAAATTCTGTTACGTTACACTCAACAAACCTAAAATCCAACCAATGTGTTTTGGATTTTTCTTACCACGGACCCTGGTAAGATATTGGTCTTTCAGCGTGTGCGATTTCTAGGATGCAAATCGGTCTTTTCCCATTTAGGACCTCAGGCCATGTGTAGAATTCCTCTGCAAGGGTAAGGGAGGATGTTCTTGAGATGCATACGACTGAATTTGGGGAGGGAGCCAGCTTGGAGAGCTCTTTGGTGGGAAATGGAGGAATTTCAGTCGAAAACCTCATGAGCCTGCTTTTCTTGCTTAGTCTCTGGTAGCTTTAAAATTGTCTAAGATTTGGGACCACCCCAGCCTTAGGTCCTTTTCTGTAAACACAGAGACCTGCATTCCGCCCTCTGCCCTGAATAGGGGCTTACATTTTAATTTCTGGTCCTGAAGCGATATCACCCTAAGGTGGTCCCCTCAGTCTCCCTGTCTTTTGAGACCTGCCACCCTCTGTCTTCACCATGCGCTTTAGAGAGATATATTCCAGTACATTTGCAAAGGTCTTCACGTGTGGAAGACTAATTCAGGCATTGTTTCTACCCCACGGGAACTGTTTAGCTCTGTATTACCTTCTGATGTTGGTTTTCCTTTGTGTTTCTTCTTGCTGCAGGAAAGCAATCTCCCGGGCGGGCCTGCAGCACCTGGCCCCTGCACATCCCCTCAGCATTCCTGTGGCAAACGGGCCAGCGAAGGAGCCCAGAGCGACTCTGGACTGGACTGTAGGTGTCGGCTGTTTCATTTCAACACCATTCCATTGCATGTGCGTCTCTCTCATCCTCACGATTCCTGTAGCTACCAACAAGACTTAATCATTTTCAATATTGTTCACTGATCCATCTTTGGGCATCTAAGCCCTGGCTCCATTTCCAGATTCCTAAGAACATAGCTCCTTTATATGAAGTCAGACGTATTGAAAACTAAAATAAAAACTTCATGAATCCTCTGAAGCACTATTGCCTGGGTTTGCAGCTGTGAGATAAAAAGTACCTCTGTGCACATGCTTTATTGGTCCCTGCCAAGTTGATGATAAATAGAGTTTACTCTTAGCGACATCACAAAGTCCAAGTTTGATTTCCTTAGCTCAAGCTGCTTTTTCTTTTTTGGTCCTTTTTTTTCTTTTTCTTTTTTTTATTCTTTTCCTGCGAGAGGATGACCTCACTTTACATTCCAGGCACTCCATGTTCTCCTGTTTGCTATACTTCCTCCCCTAACCCAAAGGTAGATGGGTCTCATATCAGCGGGGTGGGTATATTAGCTGTTTTTTTAAAAAAAAATTATTTTATTGAAGTATACTTGATTTACAGTGTCATGTTAATTTCTACTGTACAGCAAAGTGATTCAGTTATACATATATATACATTCTTTATCATATTCTTTTCCATTATGGCTTATCACAGAATATTGAATATAGTTCCCTGCAGTATACAGTAGGAACTTGTTATTTATCCATTCTATATATAAAAGTTTGCATCTGCTGTATATTAGCTGATTTTAATGTTTTACCTGAAAGACATGTACAAAAACTGTTAACCTTGAAGAGTGCCGTGTGAATTTCTTTTACTGAGAGTCTTCGGTGAGTCAAGTTCTTGGCTGAAGACACTTTTAACTGTGGACTGAAAGGCCTTGTCCCTTTCTGAAGGAATGTAAGGAACAGTATGAAGCTAGAGGAGGGCTGCTCTGAGATTCTGCCAGTCTGGTCTTAATGATGAATCTTGTTTAGCATTTCTGGTTGAGTTGAACAGAGGGAATAATCCGTGTTCTTTTCCTCCCATAAGAAAGACTATGGCAGGGTAGGGGGAAGGAGAGGAATTTTTAAACTCAATTTTATTTTTAGCACATAGGCTATGATTTAATGTCCTTTAATACTATAATATTTCTCCCTCTTTCCCAAGAACACACTTACTAACATCCTTATTTTATACTCTGGACACATACCAATGTATGCAGTGTATGAAGTACCTGGCAAAAGACTGAATTTAATTGGAATGCAACTTCTTCCTTGATGGAGTCCAAGAGTGCTCCAGTAGCGCCTGTGTATGTTGAGTTGGTGTTCAGGAAGACTGTTCCTCTCCTCGAATTTCCCTTTATTCCAGGACAGTTATTTAATAAACTCTTAAACCATAAGACAGTGTAGAATACATTTACAGTAGTGCTTACATAATTTAAAAAGAATTAAATATATAAACAAACAGGTAAATTAAATAAAAAAGGGATATGCATGGGCCAATGATGAGAGTGTGTTACAGGGACCCAAAAAAGTTAGTTTAATATCCATGGTGTTCCAAATCCTCTGCCAAAGTAGTAGGATCCTAACTGAGATGCAAGATTCTAATGAGAGAGAGTTTATATCATTTAGATAGAAACATCCATTAAATCATTTCTCTGCCCCTTTTGTGACATTAGTCAAGTCACTTGATTTCTTTCCGCCTCAGGGTCCTCATCGGTAGAGGGGGACAATGGTGACCCCTCCCTAAGGGGGACTTCAGGGCTGTTGTTAAGATCAAATGGGGGCAATGAGTGTGAAAGTTCTTTGTAAACGGTACAGCCGGCAGGTTTTCTATTCAGAAATAAAGTAATTGACGAATTGGTTGATTGATCACCATTTGTTGAGTACCTGCTTTGTTCTAGAACCTGTGTTAGTTCCTTAGGATTCTGAGGTGATGAAGATATGGTTTCTGTCTTCAAGAAGCTTAGAATGCCATGGGCAGAAGGGACATTGACAGCTAAAATACAGGGCAGCAACAGCTAGAGTAGAGGGGTACAGAGAGCATCACTGGGGTTGTGAGGAAGGACACCTCCATCCCCATTTGATGTTGGAAAGAGTTACCAGAAAATGCTCTTAGAAAGAATTTTCCTTCCTGAGCCAAAGCTTGACTAGAAGGTATTATTTTTCTGATTCCTGTAGAGAGGTATATACTCTAACATTTCATCACAGTGGTATTTTTGGCTAGTGGTGGGTGAACTGCAGTACACAGTTCAGGAAGAGCAAATAGGAAGTATGGCCGGGGTGCGTAGCTGATCCTTAATCCTTCAGCCCCTTTGATTATGGCCACCCTGTCTTGGTGGCCTGATGAATTATCATGGTGGCAGGAAACACTTTGGGGATGTTTAACAGTGGAGGTAAAATGGAAAGCCTTCTCTGAAGACACTCCATCTCAGGGCTTATTTAGAGATCTGATGTAGAAGGAGTTGTAAGATGTGACTCAGAAAAAAAACACCTGTAATTGTGGGCTAATATTGCTGTTAGCAAACAGAAGCCAGCCCGATACTTCCTTAAGACAATCATGTAAAAGATTTTTCTCAGAAGAGAGGAAGAAGCAGATTGTTAAAAACATTTCAATGACTTTTTTTTTTTTGCTGAGACTTGCCCTTGTTTCTAAATTTTTGGCTTTTCCTAACCTAAGTGCTTTACACCAAGTTCATTTATGTTACTTTAGTTTGCCTGCTTGTTCAAGAAGCTAAACCCGGGTTTTCTTTGTTCTGTTTAAACTATAAGACTAGTCCTCTGGCTTGACCTACTACCATACTCTTTATTCTACTCCCTTGTCTGCTTCTCTACAAAAAAGCAGCGTGACCACTGCTCTCCTTCTATCAGCCCACTTTTCTGGACTAAATGCATTAAAATGAACAATCTTTAAAAAAATTTTTTTTTTAATTTTTGGCTGTGTTGGGTCTTGGTTGCTGCACGCGGGATTTCTCTAGTTGTGGTGAGCGGGGGCTACTCTTCGTTGCGGTGCGCGGGCTTCTCACTGCAGTGGCTTCTTGTTGCACAGCACGGGCTCTAGGTGCGCGGACTTCAGTAATTGTGGCACACGGGCTCAGTAGTTGTGGCTCGCGGGCTCTAGAGCACAGGCTCAGTAGTTGTGGCACACGGGCTTAGTTGCTCCACGGCATGTGGGATCTTCCAGGACCAGGGCTCGAGCCCGTGTCCCCTGCATTGGAAGGCGGGTTCTTAACCACTGTGCCACCAGGGAAGCCCAACTCTTTTTAAATTTCCTTCCTAATCTAGTGCATTGTTTTAAGACTTAAAGCACACACAGTTTTTGATCTTCCCATTCCTCCCAATGGTATCCTCTCTTCCCTTTCATGGTGACAACCTACAGGGGCTCTCCCTTTGACACCATGCCATGAACGTCAGCCAAGCCAGTTTTGGGGAAAACAAGCTAAATTGCTAGAAAGGAAGGGAGTAATGCTCAAAAAGGAAAAATAGTCTCATCTTCTGGGCTGGAATCCAAGCTTCCAGTTTAGAGCGAGTTAGCCCACTTCGAAGTGAGTCTGTTGCACAGATAATGTGTGTCTTTTCTTAAATGTCACATGCCTCCCATGCAACGGAGACTTAATTTGGACGTGGAGATTTCTTCCCTGTTTTTAGCGTTAGAGCAGAGAACATAGGATGTGGATCTTCACTCTGTGTCCTCTGTTCTGTAATTTGCTTTTGTCCATTACACTGCCTAAACAACTCTCAAAGCAATGGTAGAAAAGCCACCAAGATCTTTCTTAAAAAGCATGTTGGTTTTCAACATAGCATCCTTGATTTCAATTCATTTTTGCCTTCCTTGTTGGAAAATTTCCTCCAAGGCTGAGGGCTGTGGGAAACAGAGCCTCAACAGAAACAAACCCACATCCTAAATCCAGACCACCTTTCCTTCCCTCTGGTTGACGATGCTAAGAAAAGGAGTGCTTCCTTCTGGACAGGTAAAACAGCACAGTGGGTTCACTGCCTCACTGTTTGGTTCAGAGACAAGATTAGGGAAGCAGAGTCTTCATGTGGGATTGGTTTAAATGGGGTTATGAAACTAGGTCATTTTATCTTTGGAAACCTTGAATGAAAAGGCAGGTGTGTGTGTGTGTGTGTGTGTGTGTGTGTGTGTATGTGTGTGTGTGTGTGTATCTGTATGCACATGTGCATGCTCTCATTTTAGTCTTGTTTCAGATGGCAGGTCCAAGCAGACCTGTGCCTTCCTTACAAGCTCTTGGCCTTTGCTTTTTAACTTCAGGTTTGGGTGTCATCACCAGTAATGACTCACACCCCGATATCTTTCTCCACTTCCATCCTCATTTCAAAAAACATTGTCCATTTAATCAAGATATCAGATTGCTAAGCAGAGCAGGAGGAGATAACCGACTATAAATTAGTAAAGGTCCTGACCTGGTCAGCCATGTTAATAGTGGGACATATCTAGCATGTTTTCATGCACCCTCACTAATCTTTTATTTTCTAAAATTGTGAGAATTTTAAATTAAATCACATTGGCTGCTGGGAGAAATCATAGACTCTTACAACTTCACAGGTCAGTGAGAAGTACCTAGGTCTAATCTTTTGCCTCTTAGTAAGTGATTATCTAAACTAACACTATTGAACAGAAATATATATGAGCCATAAACAAAGCCTAACTTTTAGTGGCCACATTAAAAAGTGAAAAGACATAGGTAAAATTAATATTATATTTTGTTTAACCAAATATATAAAAATATTGCTGTTTCAACACATAATCAGTATAGTTCACATTCTTTATATATATATGATGAATATATGATATATATATGAACCATCAATATATGGTTCACATGCTTTTTTCAGACTAAGTGAGTCTTCAAAATCTGCTGTGAATTTTACACTGACAGCACATCTCAATTAGTGCTAATCACATTTCAAGCGCTCCATTGCCATATGCTTACTGGACAACATATCTAAACCACCTGAGACAGATTTCACCTA